GTTTGATGCAAGCCGAATAGAGAATTAATAAGTGTTTCTTATAGGAAATATTCCAACACAAAACGATGCTTACCTTCCAACAGGATGCCGAAGAAGAAATTTTCTCAATAAGTGGAAGCTGAAACAAGGTGCAGCAGGCAGTATTGTTCTAACGGTCTAAGTGAAAAAGGGTCGGGACCACACTATAGCATAGTTTACCTAAAGATTATTAATCCTTCCTTCAAAGTCTGACATCTGACTCGTGTTTAGCGCACAAAAAACTGATCTCGAACGATAAAAACGTTTAGCATATGTTTACTATTCAGCAAATTATTTCGTAATTCGACAATAGTTCAAAACTATTTCGTTACAGCATTCAGTGCAAAACTAAGCAGGTTACATTTTTGCTAAAGTAACAGCTCTCATATGTAACTTTTAATCTTATATGAATTATCAATAGTTAAAATTTTTAGGAGAAATTTCGTTTAAATTCCTAAGTTACATTTATACTATAAACATAAGCAATAAAAAACAAAAGAAAAAATATGTAAGTATTGTTCCGGCATGAATGATCTTAATGGAATTTTTAGAGTATTCTCAGTTTCTAGTGGGCAAAATGTTTGTTACATTTATAAAAACTGAACTATATAGTGGAAATGTAAATTTGAAAAACTAGTACGTCTGAATAGCAGAAATTACTCTCTCTCAAATGAGACATGGCTCTTCTCTGTACAATGTACCGATATAATATTTGATAATGTCTTTAGTTGTAAGATTTAATTTGAGTTATAATTCTGTGCCTCTTCTTTTGTTATTTTGCCTATCATTATTTTAAAGCCTCGCTAGATTGAACAAGTATAATGCATAGGGATCAACAAGTTCTTATCTGTTAGAATAATATTTGCTGCTGAAAACACGCTAGATTTTGAAATCTATAGTCTTATGTCACAATTGAAGTTTAATAAAGTAACGAGAGTTTTTCAATTTTTAATAGTCTTTCTTAAATGAGATAAATGGAGTTTGAAAGCTAAAGAAAATTTCTTCTAGAAATTATAATTATTGATAATTAATATGAACAATTTGAAATTATTGTTGAGTTATCAAAAAGCACTGTAAATCCTACAAATATACTAAATTCCTTAGCCGTGGAAGAAAACTTGTCTGTGTAATAACAATCAACATAGGTAAACTCCAAACAAAATTCTAATCAGTTTTCTAGACTGCGTTAAGAGCTTTTGTACCATATAAGCAGGTATTCCTAGTAAACTGTCCTTGACAAAGAATGTTAAAAATAAGAAGTTTGCTAAGCATTTGTCCTCTACGTTACGAAACATGAAGACATCATTGTTCTGATAATCGTGACCAAACGATCACTGGTATCCAGTTCGAGCTTTTACCTCTCGATATATGTTTTATAAAGCTTAGAAACTGCATATTCATCAAGTTCAAAAACTTCTTTTCACTTGATGCATGCCTACACACATTTTTCTCGATCTAAGGTTTTGTACTTTTTTTGACTCTTATGCTGCAATATTTCATTTGACATCGGTAATGAAAACAGAGTTGATTTACATATCTTAAGAATTTTTTTTGAGGCTTTGTCTTATAAAAAAAAAAGAAATGCCGCCCTGTTCTGTCTTAGAGTTCATCAAAAATTGGTTTTTGTCGAAAACACCATTGATACTATGGAGCAAAGCGCCCAAGCTTCTAAAATATTACTAAAAGCAAAATGGCAGAAGATAGAATGATAAAATTATCATTTTCAGAGAAATCATTTTTTTTTGATGAACTCTAAGACTGAGTAGGGGAACCATGATTTGTTGGAAAAAATCAAATTTGCAGAAATATTTTAAATACATACAAAACGACTTTGCTTTCAATGTTGCTTTAGAATATAATATTGGTCTCAACTCATACATGTGATAATAACATAAAATATCGATTTTATATTTCTTCATAGACACGGCTCTGGAATGAAATCTTTTTATCGAACTGTATCTAACTTTTTTGCCACGTGGTCATACACGAAGGATAAAATTGCAACATTTATATCAACTTAAAATACCTAAATTCCCACGAATGATTTCATATATTGGAAAAATTTCTTCAATAGGATTCAAAAAAAAGCTGCAACCAGTGATGTACGTTATCTTCGCATATCTTTGCAAACCTTAATTGAGTTATCAATGAAGATAAGTTAATAAAACATTCTGTTTGATAAATAAAAAATTATACTAATACAAATACTATATTTCAAGTTATCCGTCCCCCTTTTCGAAATTTCTCGAAAATTGTTCGATGAAAACGTACAAAACTTTCACGGCAGATAGATCTCGATAAGTACCACAAAAGGTGAACGACCAAAAATTGGCCAGAAGTTGCAACGTGAGTTTTTCTGCTATGAATTTCGAGAGTTGAATTCAGTAAAAGTATTAACTAATAAGGAAGAGTCCTCAGTTATATGACATTTAACGGACGATACTTTGCAGCTATATTAGCACTGAAAAAACCAAAAATTGTAAAAATTTCGACTTTAGCAGCCCGAACAATGACGAGATTCTTTAAATTTATCTGAACGTTTATTTTGTTAGTATATCGAGAACAAGATACAATGAATTCAGTACAGAACGCTTGTGTTCAAACTGATATAACAAAGGGCATGAAGCACCTCCATCTGATTTCAAAACTTATTCACATAGCGTGCCGTTTTCTGAAAATTAACAGCTTACGATCGTTTTTTTTGCTATAATTTGAGTTCGATGTAAAATTACATGTGAGATATATCTATTGATTGATAGCGACACATATGTCTTAGTTATTCATTGGATCAAATCGATCATTCAATAAACAATTTTTTTTGTTACGCGACGATATGAGATTGATGAAGCTTCGAATTTTGAACAGTACTTATTGTAAAAAATGAATTAATTATTTTAATAGATTGTATCAAAGTAGATATTTGTTGATTTATCATGTTTGTGCGACAACAGTTGGTATTGAAGTAAGTCTGTAGTATACTAAATTAATCAAAAAAAAAAAGTTTAATTTATTAATAACACAAACTACCGTACTATTTTTATACTTCTTCAGATTTTCATCTTTAGTTAATAAATTTTATTATCGTACAATGAAAATCCGTCATTTCAATGCATTACAAGATAATTATATGTATTTAATAACTGATGATAAAACGACAGAATGTGCAGTTGTTGATCCAGCTGAACCAAAGGAAGTAAGAAAGACAATATTTAAAAAAAAACAAACATTCTAATTGATTCTTTTAATTTGAATGTCTAGTTAGTGGAAACCATTAAGAAAGAAGGATTAAAATTAACAACTATTCTTACAACACATCATCATTATGATCATGCTGGTGGTAATAACCAGATGCTTGAATTAATGGGTGCAGCAAAAAGTCAAATAAAAGTAGTTGGTGGTGATAGATCATTACAAGGTCTTACACATCCAGTAAAAGATAATGAAAAATTACAAGTAATTTCATTTTTTGCATTTTCTCAAGTCGAAACAAAAAATTTTTTTATTCAAAATAACAGATTGGAGAACTTGAGGTTACTTGTTTATTAACACCTTGTCATACAGCTGGTCATGTTTGTTATGTAGTCAAGGGTTAGTAATTTGAAATAGTTTGATTTAGATTTTATTTAGAAAAAAAAATATTTTAGATAAAAACGAACAAGCTGTGTTTACAGGCGATACTTTATTTATTGGTGGTTGTGGTAAATTTTTTGAAGGTACTGCAGCACAAATGCAATCAAGTCTTCAAAAATTAGCATCACTTGATCCAAAAACTGTATGTGAAATAAGATTTTTATTTTGATATGAAAAAAACAACAACAATCAAATTCGTTGTTTTTAGCTTGTCTATTGTGGTCATGAATATACAAAAAAAAATCTTGAATTTGCTGCAACGGTTGAACCAGACAATCAAGATTTAAAAGCTAAACAAGCAAGTTTAAAATCTGTTACTATACCATCAACAATAGGTGATGAACTTAAATTTAATCCTTTTATGCGTACTAATCAACAAAGTGTACAAGCATCTACTGGTAAAAGTGACCCCATTGAATGTATGGCTGAATTACGTGAACGAAAAAATAAATTTTAAATTTAATTCTTACTTTTGATTAAACAAGCGATAGATGACTTTTTTTGAAATAAAAAAAATTAAAATTTGATGATTGATTTTTTTTCTTGTAATTCAAATATTCTTTTTTTCTTTTTAGATTTATGTAAAAGAAAATAGGGCTTAATGGGATGCATAGTATCCAATTGAAAATATTAATATATGTTTGTGGTAGAAATGGACTATGTACTTTATCTGAATAATTTCTCTTACTATGGAAGTAAAATGGTTCTGCATCCTACTCTGTCCTTCTCTATTTACAACTATTTTTTTTGTGTTTTCTACTTCAGACAAGGCATTTATGAAAAATTCAGTTATGAAATTTTTAGAATAGTCTAGTAACGTGCAAAATTTCATAACTAGATTTTTTTATATATAACATCAATCGATCTGGTTTGATCTCCTATTTTAGTTTGACATCATTTTTTAACAGCTACTTCATTAACTAATCTAGCTTATATTTAGCTCACCATCATTTTTCCATGTTCCTTAAGATTGATTTAATGAAAATTTTCTTTTGAAATATTCAGGGTAGATACAAAATCAACTCCTTCGCAAAAATAAATATTTTCATTTTTTTCCCCAGCTGATTTTGCTTTTCTGTTGTACAAAGAATCAAATAAGGATCTTCACGTAAAAATGTGCATTTTCTAGCGTTCTTCTGATGTCATCGTTGTGTTTATTGAAATTAAGAAAAAAGGGAAGGTATCAATTTCGTTTTGGAAGAATAAATGGTTTTCTTTGTACATGAATATTCACAAATAGTTTATTTTCTTTCTGAAACTAATTTAATAAACTTTTTATGTATAGATTATCCATTGTTTTTAAAAATCATTCGAGCCAAGCCTATAGGAAATTTTATATATATTTATTATCAATGTTTAAAGGTCGTCTATGGCGTTTTTTAATATTCTTTTTTGTACTGTATTTAATGTTTCTTCTCGTTTTCTTTCGTTCATTTAATTCTGATAATCATGATAAAACAACAGTATCATCAGCACCTCATGCACGTGTTATTATTGATGATTATCAAGAACAAAATCCTATTGAACATCATGTGGCTGCACGACAAGTCGAAACCAATAAACCATCTAATTTAGAACCTGTAATGACAAAAGGTGTATTAGGAAATTATGAAACAAAAAACTCAGTTAAAGTATCGGGTCCTGGTGAAAATGGTGAAGGTGTTCACTTACATGGAGAAGATATTCAACGAGGACAAGAATCTGTTGCTGAGTATGGTTTTAATGAAGTAGCAAGTGATAAAATTTCATTGGATCGAATTGCACGTGACACGAGGTATATAAAACAGAGCTAAAGAAAACCAATAATATTTAAAGGAAAATTAATTCTTTATTTAGACCAGAAGAATGTAAATATTGGAATTATCCAAGTGTGGATAAATTACCAACAGCATCTGTTGTTCTTGTTTTTTATGATGAAGGATGGTCAACATTAGTACGAACATTTCATTCTGTTATTAATACAAGTCCAAAAGAATTATTAAAAGATATTATTCTTGTTGATGATTACAGTGATCAAGAACATATAACTGTTCGTCTACCGGAATATATTAAAAAATGGAATGGTCTTGTAAAATATGTTCGAACAAATCAACGGTAAATTATTTTCTAATGACATGAAAAAAAACTGTTAGCACATACTTTGATGTATTAAAATGTGAAACATAATATAGCTGCTATTGCTAATCACAGAAAGTCTGGGACACCTTTCTTCATCATATTTTATTACTTATTTCTAAACTTTTCATCGATTCAAATGGTAGTAAATATACTGGAAGACATACTCTATCTATTCGCATATTACTTTCTGTCATTAGTTTTATGTAGAGTCGAAAACACGTTTATCGTTAAAAAAATTAAGCTTTTGCATAAGACTCTGCTCAGACTTTATTAAAGTATTCGTCTATTTAAACTCTATCAATACAGTAAGCACAAACATTTCTTGACATAGATGTGGGCTTTTCAAGGAACTATAATTTTTCAGGTATTTCTCATTTTTGCAAGTCCGGAACCGTTTGCATTGCACAATAATAGCATATTCGAAATCAGTGCGCGAAACTACGGCACATATTGTATGATTCGAGACATTGTTTTACTAAAAGAATATTCCTTGAAAAGATGTTTTTCGCCGAAAAATTATTTTTGTCAAAGTGACTTGCTGAGGAGGAGGAGCCCAAATATTTACCTCTATGTTTTAACACTCATTGTAGATCGTGTTTAACGAAAGTAAATGTTTTATTGGTTTTTTTAGAGTTGGACTTATTGAAGCTCGTGTTATTGGTGCTCGTGCTGCTGAGGGTGATGTTATTGTAATCTTAGATGCTCATTGTGAATGTGTAAGATAAGATGTTCTTTTGTATTTATTTAAATTCTTTCTTTTTAAATTTTATTCAGGTAACAAATTGGTTACCACCATTACTGACTCGAATTGCATTAAATCGTAAAACTTTAGCTGTACCTATTGTTGATGGAATTGAATGGAATACTCTTCGACATAATACAGCTTATGGTGGTACACTTTATAGAGGTATATGGGAATGGGGATTTTTATATAAAGAGACCGAATTACCAGAACGTGAACGAAGTTTAATGAAATATCAAACTGAACCTTATAAAAGTCCAACTGTAAATTTGAAATCAATAAACTTTTATTTTGCTAACTTAGTTTTCTTTTTAGCATGCCGGTGGTCTTCTTGCTATTGATAAAAAATGGTTTTTTGAATTAGGTGCTTATGATCCAGATATTAAAATTTGGTAAGTATTAATATATATATGAAATGAATGTTAAAATTCTATAAAAAATAATATTTTAATGTTTGTGTTTTTTGTAGGGGAGGTAGGTATTTATTCTTAGAATAATTTCATCTCTATTTTTGACATTGGCTATTAGGTGAACAGTATGAATTGAGTTTTAAAGTATGGATGTGTGGTGGTCAACTTGAATGGTAATCAACAAAAAAAAGACTGTTCTCTCTTCTCGATTATATTAATATTTATTTGTTGATTTTAAAGGGTCAGTTGTAGTCATGTTGGACATATTTATCGAGGACCACGTCGACGTAGTATGCATCCTCGCGGTGGAAAGATTCATCAAAGTCATATAAATCATTTGCGTGTGGCTGAAGTATTTTATTTTTTGATTGATCTCTTCTTTTTTGTAATTTATTATCGTCTTATTTGATATTAGATTTGGATGGATGAGTATAAAGAATATTATTTACGTCGTCAACCAAATCATGCTCGTCTTGATATTGGTGATACAAATGAATATAAAGCATTACGAAAACGTTTAAATTGTTCTAGTTTTAAATGGTTTTTGGATAATGTGGCTTATGAAATGGTTGAAAAATATCCATTACCACCAGCAAATCATGTTTGGGGTGAAATGCGTAATGATCAATATCAACAATGGTGTGCTGATACACTTGATAATCAATTTGGTCGACCTATAGGTATATCTGGCTGTCATCATCAAGGTGGAAATCAATTATTTCGTATTAATGTAGAAGGTGAATGGTCATCGGGTGAACATTGTTTTGTATCGGAAGGAAACTCTGTTATTGCAAGGTATGGAAAAAATTTTTTCTTTTGAACTCTTTACGTTCCCATAGTGATTGTAGAAGAGTCATTGATGAAACAATCCTTGAAATAGAATATTGGTGTCTCCGAAATATCAATAGTATGAATAGATTGATCAGGAAGAACGATTTGACAAAAGTTCTATCTGAAGGTTCCCGTAAACCTGATGTAGTCCGACGGAAACATGTCCTAGAGAACTCGTAAACATCTCATGTTGTAGAGTTTTTTATTTCTTTTCTACGTAGTTTTTGTAAAACTTTTATGATTTTTTTCGAAGATGAAACAACACAAAAAAAATAAGTTTTTCTTCATAGACATTGTGTACAAATGGGTCGATGGATTCCGAAAGGTGAATGGACTTATGATAATACAACACGGCAAGTTCGTTCGACAAAAGTTTATAAATGTATAGTAACTAATGGTAAAGTTTTATCTCTTGAAACTTGTGATGAGAATAATAGATCACAAAAATGGACATGGACAGAAACTTATGTTGTATAATTAATATCGAATTTATATTATGACTATAAGAGATAATCATAGAAAATATAAGTTTTTTTTTATTTCAAGAATCTCTTATTCATTTTTTTTCTTTGTTTCTTTCTTGTGATATTCACTATCATGGTTGTTATTTTCTGGTCTTTTATTTCTTGCTAAATTAATTGACTTGTGATTTTTGTTTTTTAATTGTTATTGTATTGGGTTCTATTTATATAATTATTTGGATAGGTTGAAAGAAAAAAACAATGAATGTCTTATGTAATTTATTCTCTTTAGATAAAATGTTACATTTATTAGCCAAATGTGCACGCGTAACTAACCGACAAACATTATATTTCTCTAAATCAATTGTTCGTAATAGTTATTACTTAGTGTAAGCTTTAATTTTTATTTTATGAAAAGGTGCTATTAGATTTTTATTTTAAAAGAATACCCGAACTACCACCTATTGTTGAAGGCGTTGATGCAGTATTTCATCCTGAAGCACTTCCATCATTTGAACATGCTACACCACAAGTTGTTGTAAGTGGTGGTCTTCGATTATGTTCAGAATTTGATACTACTATTCAACAACATGTTGAAAAATTAGGAAATGGTAAATATTCTATTTGTTGTATTCTTTACATATAATCATAAAGAATAGATAAATTGAGTTATTACTAAGAAGATGTCGTATTTTATTATTCAGATTACATGCAATCAAAGTACATAGTGATCATGATCTTAGACTTCGACGGAAAATAAAAATAACTCCTAGAGATTCTTCTTAATCACGTTTACTTGAGTAGAAAATTCTAAATGAATACTGTTAAATAGACTTAATCAAAGAATCAATCTTATTAGTTAATGCAAAAAATCTATTTTATTCATATAGATACATCAAAACCAACATTTGAAGCAATATTTAATCCGATCGAAGATTTAAATGTTCCATTTGAAACTGGTTATTATACAATTCGTCAATTAGCACTTGTTAAACAACGAACATATGCTACATTATTTTCCAAAGTTTGTTAAAAACATATTTTCTACCATCTTTTATAATCATGGTTTATTTTTGTTACAATAGTTTGATAGTCATTTTTCTGTTCATCGAGAATTTCGTTTTCAAGATCCAGCTCTTTTCCATCTTGTTCAAGTAAATTTATTTTATTTTATTTGTTTTGATCCAATTGATTCATTTAGAATCTAAATACCGATGAAAATCGAACTAAATTAAAAGATTGGCAACAAACATTAATTGATGTTTATCTATACTATGGAAAATTAAATGGTTGTCATTTAAATAATGAAGAACTTGATCAAATGCAATTGTTCAATGGAAAACTGAGTCAATATCAATATAGTTTTGCGTAAATATATTTAGTGAGTTTTATAATTTATAATTTTGATTTTTCTTATAGACAAAAACTTCTCTATGCTAATAAAACATTTACACATCTTGAACTTGATCCATTCGCTTTTGATGATGTACCATATCATATAAAACAACAATTTGCTGTTGATAAGTAAGATATCTACTCTAATCTAAGGATTATTGAATAGCATGAAAGTCTTGGTTCCTTATGGATTAGAAACATTTATCTTCAATGTGAATAAAAAAAACATAAGGAGAAAACCCAGCCTAAGAAAATCATAATATTAGTCTGGATAAGGGTCTTTCATAGTGATTTTTCAGTAAAACTAAGTTTTGTTTTCCGATTTGACTTTTTCAAAAATGTCCACTGTGTGATATGATTTTTTTTCCTTGTATTTGATAACTTTTATGTTTCATATAGAGCTAAACCAGATTCAGGACCATGGAAACTTGATTTATCTGATCGAACATTTCATACAATAATGTCTTATTGTGGTAATCGACCATTGAGGAAACTAATGTTTGAAGCTTATTATGGTCGTGCATCACCAACATCTGATCGATTAAATCGAAATGTAGAAAATATTGTTGAAATAACTCGAAAACGGTTTTAATTTATCATTTCAGGAAAAAAACAATATACATATATAATATTTATTTTATTTAGAAAGGCCATTGCTAAATTTCTTGGTTATTCTTGTTTTGCTGATATTGTTTTACAAACTAAAATGGCTCGTAGAAAAGAAACAGTACAAGAATTTATTGAAACAACACGTTCAAAATTAAAACCAATACATGATGAAAATATTCGTCAATTAACAGCATATGCCCAAGAAAAATCAAATAAACCAAAAGAATATGAACAATTACAAGCATGGGATGTTGCTTATTGGCGTCATAAACAATGTCAAGATTTATATTCATCATTAAAGATTGATTCACTACAAATAAGTCGACATTTTTCATATGAAAATGTATTGCAAGGACTATTTAATTTTGTTGAATTTCTTTTTGGTGTTAAATTTGAATTAGAAAATAATTTTGATGAACAATATAAATGGCATACCGATGTACAAGTTTACAGATGTACAGAAAACGGTAACTAAAATTTTTTTTTTCTTATTCAGAAGAAACATAACACAAACTATTTAGGAATGACACTTGGTCATTTGTTGATTGATGCATTTGCTAGACCAAATGAAAAATCAGAAGTATGTATTGGTACAGCAGGACGAGGTTAGTTAATTATACAACGTGTTTGTACTTAATATTCGTTTTTTCTTTCTCAAAAGATCTTTGTCAACGTCATAATATATTACCAATTGCTTATCTGAATATGAGTTTACCACGTATTGAAGGAACAGCAACTTTGATGACCTTGGCGCAACTTAAAGAAATGTTTTTTGCTGTACGTATAAATAATTTTTTGAAATAGGAGAAAATTTACGAACGAAGGAAGTTCTTCAAGTGATAAATTACTTTTGAGATGACACTATGTGTATTATGTAGATCCAAATGAGCTATGTGTACTTTTATCTTAAGGTCACGAACACTTTTCATGGTATTCATAGCTTATTTGCGTCTAAATAATGCATATAATCTCAATTCAAAGGTGATTTATCATTTGGATAACTTCTTTCGTAAGTAAGATGAAAAAGTTATGAAACTGATAACTGAATATTGAAGTTGATTTTTAAACTACTCTATAATTCTTTCTTTTCTTAAGTTTGGTCGTGTTCTTCAAGTTCTTCTTACTCGTTCATCAAATCATGAATTATCTGGTATACGTAATCTTGAAGCTGATGCACTTGATATTGTTCCAAATTTTTTTCTTCAATGGCTTCGTGATCCAAGTATTCTTTCATATATAAGTCAAAATGTTGAAACAAAACAAATTCTTGATTCTTCCGTTTATCATCGTGCTTTAAATCAAATTGATCATCATATGATAGCACATGATGTTCTTCGACAATTATATTTAAGTGCATTTGATCTTGAAATTCATACAAATGCAACTAATTATTATGATGCTATGGTTAAATTATGGCCATTATTTACACCAATCCCATTACATAATCGTGATTTTCATCCGTGTAGTTTCGAACAAATCTATTCTGAACAATTAGCATCAGCTTATTATTCACATAAATGGTCTGAAATGATTGCATGTGATTTATTTAATGCTTTTAAAGAAATAGGAATAAATGATAAAGAGAAAATTTCAGCACTTGGAAAAAGGTAATGCTAAAAACCAAGTATAATTTCATGTTTTCTATATGTTGATAATATATTTTTAGATTTCGTGAAACAATTTTAGCACGAGGTGGTACAATTAGAATGCGAGAACTATTTCGAGAATTTCGATCACGTGATCCAAGTTATGAATATTATGTTCAACAATTAACAACTAAATTTTAAAACTGTTTTCTATTCTAACATGTGCTGTTCTGACGTGTTTTTGTTTGTTTGTAGGTAATAGGAAAAGTGATGTCGACAAGAACAAGACGTCAATAATAAAATGTTGAATACAGAACAAAATAAAACTTTAAATATCTTTAATATTTCTCTTTTTAGTATATTTCAAATACTATTTGTAACGATAATCTTGCTTGATGAAATATTTTATCGTATTCGACTAGGTTTTGTAATAAAGTGCTCTAGTTTCAGAACATTTGGATCATTTCTGTGAAATTTTTTTCTGATTTGTCTTTAGAAATTCTAATGCACAATGGCAAGCCTAAATTACTTGTTCAATGTTTAAAAACCTTTTTTAAAAATTTGATACGAAGAGATACTAATTATGTCATACTGATGGTTTCAGTAATATATTCGACTTGTGGCACATAGAAAACATCCATGACGTGCGAGTCAAAGATATACTACAATACGAATAAGTTCTGTTCGATTAATATTACAAAAATAACCTCATTACAAGATGAGAATGTAACGTAAAGTAAAACTTTTACTAGTGAGCACTTCTTAATAATGAACAGTCTCGAATCTAACAAAACGAATTTTGCTGACACTATCTTTCTCTGATGTAAGTACCTTCTTATTCTGAAGAATAAACACTTTTTTACGATCTCTCTTATCATTATAATCAGAAGTTTCACAACAATTTAAAAAAAAAATATCAAATAAATGAATAAATCACAATTATAAGAATTGTTATAGTTCATTAACACACTCTGAAATATTATTTTGTCGAAACTTCATATTTATAATTACTTTTCTGTCAATTTATCTGATTCATTTAACATCCTAGTATTGAAAAAAGGTTCTTGTTATTGTCCGATACACCTTCAATACATAACGTCTTTTTACTTAATAATAATCATATCTATAGGATGCACGTGAAGTAGTAAGAGATATTAAATATTGAAAATATCTGCTATTAATTATTAATTAATTCACTTACAATGTTATTAATGAGCTAATTAATTGGTTTGTGTGTAATGGCCTGTAATTGGGAGTCGGGTATCGCTGTGGTCTGTAATAGTTAGTGTGGGTGTGGGTTTGATCTTCTATTCTCGTACACTCACATGCGCACTCACACCCACACCTCATGTACAGGGCGACCAGAAATCATCTAAGGCAAAATACTGATCCTTCTAGGATGTTGGTCTGACTATAAATGAGACTG